ACCAAAGAACATTCTGGCTAATGCTGATTGCAAATTGAAGATCTGTGATTTTGGGTTGGCTCGCGTTTCTTTTAATGATGCCCCTACCGCTATATTTTGGACTGTGAGTCAGCTAACTCAACGAATATGAAAGCAAAACTGTTCATTAGGTTTCCTCTAACTCTTTTTAATGCTAGTGAAATCATTTCGTTTATGGATTTTGTAGGATTATGTAGCTACTCGGTGGTATCGTGCCCCAGAACTCTGTGGATCGTTTTTCTCCAAAGTAAGATTCTTTTTCACCGAATGTAACTGCTTTTGTTATTTCTCTGTTCCAGGAAAAGGCTTCTAGTTTACTATTTTGTAGAATATTGTTGTGTGGTTCTATAGTGTTGATAAGACTAACCATCTCTAGCTAAGTCTACTCTTGTTATATTTCAGTATACTCCTGCCATTGATATCTGGAGTGTCGGTTGCATATTTGCGGAAATGCTTTTGGGTAAGCCTTTGTTTCCCGGGAAAAACGTTGTGCACCAATTGGATCTAATGACTGACTTTCTTGGTACTCCACCTCCTGAGTCGATATCAAGGGTTAGTCACTCAAAACATCTGTTCATATTATCTGTAGCAAATTTAATGTGTTCCATCATTTGAGTGTAACTTAATCCTTGTAATGAGCTTTGCAATCTTGGAATTCTACAGATTAGAAATGAAAAGGCGAGGAGATATCTTAGCAGCATGAGGAAAAAACAACCAGTCCCTTTCTCTCATAAATTCCCTAAAGCTGATCCTTTGGCTCTCCGCCTTCTGGAACGCCTCCTTGCCTTTGATCCGAAAGACCGTGCATCAGCTGAAGATGTAAGTGAGAAGTAAATTTGCTTTATTTTTCCCTTATGTTTTACACAGAATGAAACTCTTATATTCTGTCGTTTTGTTTTTCTTGTTACAGGCACTAGCTGATCCATACTTCAGTGGTTTGTCAAATTCAGAGCGTGAACCAACAACACAGCCAATTTCAAAGCTTGAATTTGACTTTGAGAGAAAGAAGTTAGTAAAAGATGATGTCAGAGAATTAATTTACCGAGAGGTAACAAACAAAGAAAAAAGCCTTCTACATATCCTTTTTTTTTATCTGATTTTGTTTCAATGTTCTTCATTGATTCTAACAATCACTTATCTTTGGATTTTTTAAAAAATCAGATATTGGAATATCATCCTCAGATGTTGGAGGAATACCTTCGTGGTGGTGATCAGCTTAGCTTCATGTACCCCAGGTTAGCTAATTAACCAGTCACAGAAACAATAAGTCTTGAAAACAGAAAGTTATGGAATCAAAAATCTTGTTGTTGTTTATACGCAGTGGGGTAGACCGGTTTAAAAGGCAATTTGCTCATCTTGAAGAAAATCAAGGTCAACCAGGAGCAGCAGGAGGAGGAAGAAGTACTGCACTTCACAGACATCATGCTTCCTTGCCAAGGTAATGTCTTTCACAGTATATCTCTCTCTCTTCTCTTTTCTTCTCTCTCTCTCCCTCTGAGAGCATTGTGCTTCTCTGTGATTGTGTTGCAGAGAGAGAGTTCCTGCTCCGAATGGTGAAACTGCAGAAGAAAGCAGTGATGTTGAGAGAAGAGCAGCAGCTGCTGTGGCTTCAACCTTGGAATCTGAGGAAGCAGACAATGGAGGAGGTTACAGTGCTCGTAACCTCATGAAGAGCGCGAGCATCAGCGGTTCTAAATGCATCGGTGTCCAATCCAAAACCGACAAAGAGGTTAGCTAGTAAAGAAAGAAAGAAAGAAAGAAAACAAAAACAGAAGATCTTGTAAGGAACATGACGATGAAGTTTACTAACCGTTGTTCTGTTCTCTCTGTTTTGCAGGACACCATAGCTGAGGAAGAAGATGCTGAAACAGTTGCAGAGCTTACTGATAGAGTTGCTTCTCTCCACAATTCTTAAAAATGATTTAGTTTTTTTTTTTTTTTTTCTTTTCACGAAATTTTTCTGCTGAAAAATTTGGTTTCTCCATTTTCTTCTCCCTCCTTCCACATCTATCTTCGTGGTTGGGTTTGATTTGTTGTATTTAATAGTTTGGGGGGTTTGAATGAAAACTTTAAATAAGAACATCGATCTCCATGTAATATTTTTTTTGTTGCTCTCTTTTAAAAACTCATATTTTGAAACTATTTTTACCTATTATTCACTTTGCTGCTTCAGTTTACTCAGGGACAGTTTGTGTGGTTGGTATGAATATGGTCCGGTTCAGACCAAACCAGGATATTGGCTCTTATATACTCGCTCCGTTTCAAAATATTAGCCCTGGGCATAAAAACCGAAACCAAAAAACCGAACCGAACCGAACCGAAACTATCCGAATGTTTTGGTTTCGGATATCACAAAATAACCGAATGGTTCTCTTTCTAAACTATCCACGGATATCGGTTATTAACCGAACCGAACCGATATCCATGGATATCCGCTTTAAACCGAACATAATTTATTTATGAGGCCTAAAGCCCATTTGTCTTCCCTACCCAACTTACCCAACCCATTGCCTAATCCCTACCCTACTTACCCAACCCATTAAGCCCAAGCCCATTGTGTGTGATTGTGTCACGGGAAAAGAAGAATGAAAGATCAACTCAAGGACTTGAAGATGCTTGTAGAATCTAATAATCTTTTACTCTCTCTTTCTCTCTTTCTCTGTTTCTCAAGTCTCTTTTGAACTTGATTATTTTGTTGCGGTCTCAAGTCTAAACTCTTAAGTCTCTTTGAAGTTTGAACTTTGTTATTTTGTTGCGGTCTTAAGTTTTATTTGGGTAATGGTTCGGTTATTTGGTGGGTAAATAACCGAACCAAACCATATCCGAAAGTATTTCGGTATTTTTTGGTTCTCTTCCCAAGTATCCAAACTGAACCGAACCGAAAGCTAACCGAACCGAACCGAACCAAAAACAGTTCGGTTCTCTTATGGATGCTAAGTGCCTAAAACCGAATAACCAAATAACCGAATAACCGAACCGAACCGAACCGAATAACCGAACGCCCATGCCTACAAAATATAAGACGTTTTAGCAAAAGCACGCCGATTAAGAAGATCTACTTTTTAAAAGTTCAGCCAATCATAAAAGAGACTGCATAATAAAAATAATCATAAAATATTAAAGTAATATATAATTTGCATAGAAACTTGAAAACGACTTATATTATGAAACAAAAAAATTTCTCCAAAACGCCCTATATTTTGAAACGGAGGGAGTATAATAAACGTGAAGAACATACTCGACTTCTTAAAAGTTAAAAGATTAGATTAAAAAATTAGCACACATAATAATGCTGTGTTAGTTGGCTTTTTAATGACGAAGACTAACCTAATATCTATTGTTCAAATATTCCATGGTCCATCTGAATTAATACCGTTCTTGGACTAATCACATAACGACAAAAATAAAAGTAAAAACGACAAAAAAAAAAAATGAATAAATGGGTTTTTGAAAAAAAGGTATGAAATAATGGTATGGTCGAGTAAAGTGAACTCTAGGGAGCTTACCCACCAACTCTAAACCACAGTCTCAATAAGAAAAGAAACTGCAAAAAGTTGTATGGCGAACAAAGTCCATATATGCCAGATTGGTTAAGAGCATCTCTAAAGGAAGATTCTCTCAAAAAAATTGACGAGTTCTCTTCTTTAATTGACAAAAAAATAAATCAAAAATGATATTAAAGGAGAGAATCGACTCTCTCAAGAGAAGTTTGAGCAACTGAGAGAACCGTACATGTGACACACTCTAATTGGAGCATCTTTGGTGGCTACACTGTTTTATTTAAATTTATTAGATAACTAATTAACCTTGTGCATGTTCCAAAGTGAAAAATCTAACTTTACACTTTAGATTATAATAGATATGCCGCCACTCTTTGGAATTTGACTTCAAATTATGACGTCTACAAAAAGGAAAAAAAAAAAAAAAGAGTTTCATGTGAATTATAGAATCCTAAAGGAAGATTGTCACAAAATTCTTGACTAATATCAGTCATTTTGTACGAATTTTTAATTAAAGAAATTGGAAAGCTAAAATGTCATATAGAAAGTTATATCAATTCGTTTCAAATGGCCAGTGACTGAAATGGTTCAATTTCGTTCTATTATTTGTTCTCCTCGATGGCTCGCACCAACCCATGCACAGATCACATCACTTTATCGACCATAAAGTTTCAATGATTTTCCTAGATAAATAACTTTAAAAAAGTATTCCATCATACATTATAGATCACTAATGTGGACTTAAATTTCCGTATCCTACCTTAATAAGATTAAATAAGTGGAATTATCAACAAAGACTATAATTCCATTTATACAAACAACATGTTTTGATCTCTGGTTTAAGAAGATTATAGGCTTTCGACCTTTCGTCCCATAAAAGCCATTTATCAAAAAAAAAGAAAAAAAAAAAAAATTGGCTTAGATGACGCTTGAACCCAAATATAATAAAAGAGAATTTGCCAATTTGGGTTTATTTTCTGACTTTGTAAATACTTTTCAAAAAATATAGAAAACATTAAAAAAAAAGGGGGAATTTAGACATATATATCATACATGTTTTACATGTGAGAGATCAAATTTACCCCACAAATCCTGAATAAAGTATCTACTAAAGTAGACATAACTTTTTACGTAAACAATTTTACATGCATGTGCTTCTTTTTCAGAAGGCTTAACAACCGTGGATAGTATGTTCCACTTATTGTTAAAACAAATATATATCGAAAACCAAAATTATGTTTTAACCATTCAGGAGTTAATATATAGTTGCTATTGTAATGTGTCAACGATGTCTCTTTCGAGAAGGAAGATGAATAAAATATAATATTAATTAAAAGAAAAAAAAGGTTATGAACTAAATTATCTTCAGTCTGTATATTCAATTTAATTAACTGAGAAGTTACTATCGAATTATATATATATATATAGCTGGTGTTGTTATATATTTACGTATTAGATTTGTTAGTGCTAATGTGCTATACATTTTTTATTAGAACAATTTTATAAATGATATACATATTTAGTCGACGACCATGACTAAGATATCAAACCTATTTTAATCAACTTATCAAATAGACTCAAATATGAAAAAGGAGGAATTGAGGTATTTATATAAATGAGCAAGTTGTTTGAAATACGACAGGGGTACATTTAAATCGAGGGAAGTTTGGTGAAAAAGAGATTGATTGGGTGAAAAGAGGTAGCTGAGATATGAAATCGGTCGAGAAGAGAAATATAGAATTATAGAAAGAAAGGATACATATAAATATAAAAACAAGAGGGGAGTTAGCTTTTGTAAGATGAGTGAGTATATGGTCAATTGGTGATGTTTCAGAAAGTCAATTGGTTTTAGGGATCGTGAGGGCAATAACTAAATCGTAATAGATACTGTACTAGATAGATTCATATAAGACTAAAGATGTTGATATGAAAAACAAATGAAAAAGAACTAAAGATGTTCGAAAAGCAGTTGATTAATTCCATTTTGATGATAATACTCGTTTTAGTGATACTATATTAGTTAGAAGCAATATTGATTAAAGCCCATTTGAGATGAGTCTATATGATAGATTTGAAATCTTCGAAATATAAAACAAAAAACTGGCTCACTTTTTCGTACTTGGTACACTCACCTACCGATCCAATAATGTAAGAAAATTCACCAGTAAAATAGTCTATCTCCTTTTTCTTCTTTCTTGCAAGGCAGTTTTTGGGATCGTCTGGGGGGTTTCTTAAATTTTTTTTAAATATAGGTACTTTAACAGAATTATGTATATAAATAAGGTTTAAACTAGAAAGGAAACGCAATGTGATCCTCCTATATAAAGGAACCTTCACAATAGCAAACTTGATCAATAATCATAGCTAAGTAAAAGAAAGAATTCTATAAAGCAAATGGAGAATTTAGGGTTTCTAATAATTTCGACCTTTTTGCTTATATTTGCAACTCTTCTCCCTTATCCTTCCGCTTCAACCACCCGTCGATTTCACTTTAATGTAAGCATTTTTAGGCAGACTTACCGATACCTACAACTATATTTTTATGATATGATCATACTAAAGATTTGGAAAAATTATACATCATTTGTGCATATTCAAGATTTTATTGCTTATCAATCATAGTATATACAATCTTTATCAATCATAGTGTATACAATCTTTTAACGTGGTAAACATAGTAGTAACATTTTCAATATATATGATATACAGTAAACGTTTTTGGTTTCTTGGGGTTTTAGGTCGAATGGAAGAAGGTAACTCGATTGTGCCACACGAAACAGCTTTTAACGGTGAACGGACAATATCCAGGGCCGACCGTGGCAGTACACGAAGGTGACACCGTAGAAATCAAAGTGACTAACCGGATTGCTCAAAATACAACTATTCATTGGTAACAATTCTCGTGCATGCATAATTCACTTTTAACATTGTTTTTACTTCTTTCTGTGAGTTTATTTATCGGTTGAAATTGGGGTTTGTGAGCAGGCATGGGTTAAGGCAATACCGAACCGGTTGGGCTGATGGACCGGCTTACATAACACAATGTCCAATAAGATCAAAACAATCATATACATATAGATTCAAAGTGGAAGATCAAAGAGGCACACTCCTTTGGCATGCTCATCACTCATGGCAACGAGCCTCCGTCTATGGCGCTTTCATCATCTATCCGCGGCAGCCTTATCCCTTTTCCGGCAGTAATATCCAATCAGAAATCCCCATTATACTTGGTACAAAATCTAACTTGTTTTTTTTCCTTTTCATTTCCCGTCAAATATAGTGTATACAGTTTAGAATCAAAATTATGCGATCTTAAAATTAAGCTGGTTCAAATCCTCCATGCCAACGACAAAAAAAAAGTGCCTATATCATTTTAAACTAGTTTTATACTTTTGTTGCACGATGTAAATTGAATAGAAATGTGAATTGGATGATGTAGGTGAATGGTGGAATGATGACGTGGACATGGTTGAGAAAGAGATGATGAAGACCGGAGCTGGGGCTAAGGTTTCCGACGCTTACACCCTTAACGGGCTTCCCGGCCCACTTTATCCTTGTTCTACCAAAGGTCCAATTATTTTTCTATTAAACCGATGATTTAAATTCCAATCCGAATCGATTCAATTCCGGTCCAGTTTGGTTCGTTTCTCACTGATTATGATCGTGTGCAGATACTTTCACGGCGACCGTAGACGCCGGGAAAACCTACATCCTCCGTGTAATCAACGCAGCTCTAAACAACGAGCTCTTCTTGGCTGTAGCGAATCACACGCTAACCGTAGTCGAGGTCGACGCGGTTTACACCAAACCGGTTCATACCAAAGCAATCATGATCGCTCCCGGTCAAACCACCACCTTTCTTCTCCGCGCCGACCAACTCTCCGGCGGCGAATTTATCATCGCCGCAACTCCTTACGTCACTTCCGTCTTCCCCTTCAACAACTCAACTGCCTTCGGATTCCTCCGATACAGCGGCAGAAGCAAACCGGAAAATTCCGAAAATACACGGCGGAGACGGCGATTAACGGCAATGTCGACAGTCGCAGCTCTTCCGAATATGCTGGATACGAAATTCGCGACGAAATTCTCCGATAGCATCAAGAGTCTCGGATCAGCGGAGTATCCATGTAAAGTCCCGACGAAGATCGACAAGCGAGTGATCACCACGATAAGTCTCAATCTCCAGGATTGTCCGCCAAATCAGACCTGCGAAGGTTACGCCGGGAAAAGATTCTTCGCATCAATGAACAACATCTCATTCATCAGACCTCCGATGTCGATCCTCGAGAGCTACTATAAGAAACAGAGTAAAGGAGTTTTCTCGCTCGATTTCCCAGAGAAACCACCGAACAGATTCGATTTCACGGGAGTAGATCCGGTATCGGAAAACATGAACACCGAATTCGGGACGAAGCTATTCGAAGTCGAATTCGGATCGAGATTAGAGATCGTGTTTCAAGGAACGAGTTTCTTAAACATCGAGAACCATCCGTTACATGTACACGGACACAATTTCTTCGTAGTGGGAAGAGGATTTGGGAATTTTGACCCGGAGAAGGATCCGAAAAGGTACAACTTGGTGGATCCGCCGGAGAGGAACACCTTTGCGGTGCCGACGGGAGGATGGGCGGCGATTAGGATAAATGCGGATAATCCAGGAGTTTGGTTTATTCACTGTCATCTAGAACAACATACTTCTTGGGGATTAGCTATGGGGTTTATCGTTAAAGATGGACCTCTTCCTTCACAAACTCTGCTTCGTCCTCCTCATGATCTTCCTCAGTGTTAAAAATGTGTTTTATTATTATTACCTGGTTTGTTAGGGTTTTGTAAGAGTGTTTAAATATAAATCTAGATTGTCATTTTGGTTTTAATTGTCAAAATGGTTTGTGAATTCTTAATTCTTATTATTAACCCAAATCCTTATGATCACTAGACAAAGAAAACATAAACCCATCGGGTCTCAGAGAAAGTTGGCCGTCTTCAACTTGAATTCATCCAACAGAGTCTCGAAGCTCATCATTTCGTCTCTTAGCCAAACAGTCACCTGTAAACGAAAACAAAAGCAAAAACACTATGTTTGAGAGAGGCTTGATGCTCAGACATATATTGGAATGAGCAAAACTGGACTCGAACCTGTCCCGTTCTAGCCTCTTCATCACCCACGGCCAGTATGTAGTTGTACTGTGCAACCTGAGCTTCTTGCACCTACGCACAACCACAATCAGCATTCAAAAGGTATACGGGAACATAAACCTCAATTGTTTGTGCTCAGGGACCTTGTAACAGTTACCTTCTCACTGACGGTTCTATCTGTTGTGTCAACATCAACATAGTAGCCAGCTTCGTGAATTTGATCTCTCACCTGTTTGAACATATACAAACAATTGAAGATTAGGTAGAGATTTAAGACTCTGCAAGTAAGCTCGTAAAGAGTACAGTCACGAAGGTATAACCTTGTTTGCGTAGGAACGAGAATCCTCTGAAACAGAGCAAACTATGGCCTGGCGGGGACTAAGCCAGAAGGGCAATTTTCCTTTGTACTGTTCCAACAATATGGCAAAAAGACGCTCAACAGAGCCCAACACCGCTCTATGTATCAGCACAGAACTCTCTATCTCCGTTTCATCCTCAGCTGAATATTCCAGTTTGAAGCGATCAGGAAGGTGAAAATCAAGCTGATATTAGGCAACAACAGAAACAACACAATAAATAAACTACCAAGAGAAATGCAGGGGAAAGAAAAAACAAGAAAGAGTTTGGGAACCTAACCTGTATAGTAGCACACTGGAATTTCCTTTTCATTGCATCATACACTGTTATGTCTATCTTTGGGCCATAAAATTCCCCGTCTCCTTTGTTTTTCTGCAGAAAACATCAAACTTAAGAATGAATGCGTATACTCTGTGAATAATAAAGTTGAGTAGAAGCATCAGGAAGTAGCGAGCACACATACAACCCATGTCTTTCCAAAATCATTTAGTGCTTCTTCAAGATCTTTCTCAGCTTTGTCCCATTTTTCCAAATCTCCAAGGTATTTCTTTGGCCGCTGAAATTGAAAATTACATGCAAACAATAAGCTACAAGATCATATCACGAAAAATGAATCAAATCAGGCAGAGGACAAATATCCTACCGTTGAAAGCTTTAGCTCATAGGTAAAGCCAAATTTTGTGTAAGCATAGTCAACAAAATCCAATATACCTCTCACTTCTTCTTTAACCTGAAAATATATACAGAATACGTCTAACAAGAAACTGGGAGGATAAGGAACTCCAACGTTGCTGGATAAGATACAAATATCACAAACCTGCGTCTCGCTACAGAATATGTGTGCATCATCCTGAAAAAGATATATGCGAATGTCAAACAAATATGCAACATGAAAAGGAGCAAAAAGTATGTTGACAAGTAAGCAAAGGAAGTGCTTTAACATGGCAAATAGGCTCTAATGTTAATGCCAGAGTGCAGGAACTTTTCATGCTCTACTAAGCTCTGCTCTTATGTTAAAGCCGCTGTTCAGGAATTTTTTGTGCTCTATCTAGTCAACTCCTAAAGAAGTTTAACTACGCCAAAAAGGTTCAAAAGGTACCTGTTGGAACTGTCGGACACGGGTCAACCCACTAAGATCTTCACTTGCCTCATTTTGATACAACGGTCCAAAGTCAGCCAGTTTAATGGGTAATTCTACATGCCATACCATAAAAAGATGGTGTCAGTAAAGATAGGAGATAGAGTTTACAACTTCATGAGTAAGATTGATAAAGAAAAGCATTTTAATTAATTCTCCCTATTGTTGTCCTTGTCGAAAAATTCACAACTATAATGAGATCAAACTGCACTAACGGAACAGAGCGCTAACCGTTATATGAGCGAACACTGTGTCGGAACATCAAGCAGTGACCCTGGCAATTCATATGTTTGATCCCGTAGTTATGTATGACAGTCTGTGCATGGAGAATAGAGAAAATCATTTCTTTCACCTGTTAGAAACGTAGAGCTACAAATGGCACCTTAAGCTAGCTAATTGCTAAAGTAACAAAGTCAAGAAGACTGTTAAGGTTTCCAAATGGCACTCAAATCAAATGATAGACTAGAAACTTTTCTTTTAATTTATAAAAATTCAAATAAATAATTGAGTTATATAGAGCCCCTATGTGAGAACCATACTTACCAATCCGGGTGTTTGAAAATCTAACTTGAACATATTTTTCTGGTAGTATTCAGCATGTCTTGATGTTTCCCAGAAATCCATGGTGTAAATAACTGGTGTAATGACCTGCAAAAATCAAAGGTTATTATTTAGCAACCCCGCGCCGCCACACATAGTCTTCAAGTGTGTTACATAGTGAAATGAGAAAAACCTCAGTGTAACCCATTTTCCAATATTCTTTCTTGAAGAATTCCATCAACTTGTTATAGACGCGAGTGCCATGTGGGAGGTAGATACAATTTCCAGGACTGAAACATATATTAATGATGAGTTGCGTGAAACAAAAATAAAGAGGAACTAACAAACACAAAATTGTAAATTAGAACTGAAAGAACCTGAGTGGGTGAGAAAAGAAAAGTTCCTGCTGTTGGCCCGAGAGTCTGTGGTCATATATCTTGGCTTCTTCTATAGACTTAAGATAGTCCTACAAAGATAATAAAAACAATGCAAAGGCATGATGATGAAGAATCTTTTTTAACAAATAAAGCTAGTACCTTGAGTTGCTTATCATCCGGATAAGATATCCCATACACTCTCTGCAAGCTTTCGCGGTCTTTGTCACCTTTCCAGTGTGCGGATGAAGCCTGAGATGTGAAGGAACAAAAAAAAACTGGATAGTTATGAACTTGGAAAACAAACTAGAATTCTGTAATGTTGTAGATAGAGTCGGAATGTTCACCTTCAAACACTTGAAAGCTTTCACAAAGGAAGTATTTGGTATATGTGGTCCACGACACAGATCAACCAATGGGCCACATCTGTAGACTGTAGTGGTCTCGTCTTCAGCCAAGTTGTCATTGATAATTTCAACCTATAAGATAATTAATTAACAGCAGAAGAATAAGTCCAAAAAAGACAATCCAAAGGTTGAATGATTTTTATATCACTTCTTCTCTAAAATCTACCTTAAATAAATTATCAGAAAACATCTCAAGAGCCTGATCTTTGGTCACTAGAATCCTTTCAAATGGTTGTCCTTCCTGAGATGTAGATATAAATAGAATTGGGACACTAAAAATTGGGTGACATACAACATTCAGCAAACATATTACGGTCACTAGAAGAAGCCATACCAGAGCAGATTTTGCAGCACCTTCTTCGATGTGTGGAAAATGATCGTCGTTTAATCCCAGATCGCCATGATAAAATGCATCGTAATAGAAACCCTGCAATAACAATCCACTACTAACATCAGAGATATAGCCTCTCTTTCCACATTACTGATGAAATACCAAGAACCAAACAATATTGATTCCTCCTTTCTTTTTTTCTGATCTTAACCAAAGAAACATAAGAGATAAAAAAAAACAGATCAAGCAGTGACTGCTGTTACCTCATCTATGGTTTTGCAGGGTCCAATGCATAGCTTGCATCCATACTCCTGCTCGAGAGCCTGGCCTAGAATGTGAGCACTAGAATGCCAGAAAGTATCACGGCCTTGGACGCTATCAAATCCGAAAATCTCTACCGAACAATCACCTTCCAGGGGCCTATTCATGTCCCGCAGGACATGATCAACCGAAGAAACCAGCGCAGAATTTGCCAAACCCCTAGAAATCTGCACTGCGATGTCAAGAGCATGAATATTGGTTGAAATGTTGAGTATCTTAGACAAATCTTAGGATTAAAGTTGATTAAAAATAATCAAACCAACATCTTAAAGTTAAGATTTGTATCTAAGTTAAGATGTTTTTCTTAACTTAAGATGTTGCAAGGTGTCACATTGTGATTGGTTAAAAAATCAAACAAAAGAAGAATTTTTTTTTTGTGTTTTATATTATTTATGTTATAAATTGTATCTATGTATGTTTTAATTTTTTTAATTTGCAACAATTATTAAATTTTCTATTATTATAAATTTTATTTTTATATTAATATTTTTTTTTATAAAAACCACATGTTAAGAACCTACCATTAATCACACAAAAATCTTAACCAAAAATACTACTTAAATATATTACCAATATTCCTAAGATTTATTTCTAAGATACTACCAATAATCATGCTCTAACATATCTACACATATTGGGAAATATATCTAAGGGATTTTTTCAAAACTTTCTAATTAGAAGTATTCATTTAGTTAATTATTTACATATTCAACCAAAAATATATATTAAAATAAACAAATTGTCTAATAATACATTAAAATAAAATGGAATAGAATTGTTTAAAAGAAAATAAAAAAAATTGGACAATAGACAAGAAATAAAAAAATTTAAAAAGGAAGAAAAGACAAGAAAGGAAACAAAATTAGATAAAGAAGATTTTCCATCTTATCTTATTAAATGTTTTCTGAAAAAACTAATGTTGTGATGGTGGAACTGATTGGTTGCCAATACTCACGCATAGGCTCATTAAAAGGATAGACAATGAGCTCACGAAGGGTCATTGGCTGAAGTTCAGCCGCTGAACGACGTTAGTGTTGTAATTCTCACATCTAACCTCATTGAGGTTAGTTCACTCTTTCTTTATGTCTCTCTCTTTATCACACTATGTTCTTGTTCTTGCTTAGAGAGGAACACAAGAAACGTTTTTGCTTTAATCTTCTACATTGTATTAATTGGATCACTTCTTACAAAGCACACATACACATTCATATAGTAGATTTCTTCTACTCACCATACTCACTCTCTTAGACTCTAAACTTAGTCACTATTTGACCTTACTTCTAGACTTTAGACTTAAGCATACAAGCAACCTTACACAACCTTACCTTAGCTACTAACAATCCCAACAACTCTCAACTACTCTAGCTTAAGTACTTTAGCTAGAATAAGATACATAAGTTAATTCTTACGAATGGGCCACAAAGAAACATACTTCACCACTTTGGGCCTATACTAACTTCATCAGCCCAATAAGACAAAACACAAAAACCCACTTCTCTTGTTGACTCTGTCTTTCTTCTCCTTTGTCGTTGACCTCTCTGTCACGACATCTTCTTCTTCTTCACTTGCTTCTTCTTTGCTTTGCTTCTTCATCTTCTGAAGCTTCTTCTTCTCTTTTGCAAGTTCAATCAAGGATACAATTCCAACAGTTAGTGTCTGCTCCAGAGATAAGATGAGCAAATTCTTCTTGTGCCTTCTCAGTGTTGTGACGTCCGTCAAAGAAGAAATAAGCCCTTTGGTACTCACATAGCTTCGAATGCACGTTTACCATACCACAACCGTAGGCATCGTGCGTTCCCACACCACAACATGACGTGTTTGACACGTAAAACACTGCTTAATTATAGTGTTTATATATACTGCATCAATTATTTTTTATATGCAACAAGTCAAGTTAACATTTTTGGTTTCGATATTGTTTGATTCGGTTCCATCACACTTAAACCAGATCATCAAGTTGTACCATTTCGGTTTTGATTGGATGACAAGATGACTTACTGTAGTTAAGATGCCTATCTGTCCGACGAAGAGCAGCGTTGTAGAAATCAAAGACGGTGAACTGAAAACCGGGAGTTTTTTTTTTGCAAGGTCGTGCAACATTGGACCAATCTTCTCGTTGTGTTGTTTGACTAAATCGTTGAGTGGCTCGTAACACTCGTTGCCTGTTTTGTATTCTTGCCTCGATATTGGTAAGCAACCCAATGGTGCTAGCAATTGAATCGCGAATTTACTCGCTTTTAAAGAGTGTAACAACTGCATAATTAAAATGTACGTTAGTATGCATATATACAATGTATAAATTAACGTGTTATCATATATATATCAACAACGTACGTTGATGTCGATCTTCAATTGATTAATAGCGGAAATGACAAATGCTTGCAATGCTGAGCAGGGGTGTCTGGCGTCTGCGTTGAATTTGTTCTTAGTAAAGTTTAAGTAATCTTCGGTACCAATGTAAATCATAAACAGTGACCTTCCAATGAAATCGTCGGTCCAATTTGATTTTATACTTCTAAATATATTCACTTGCTGATTTAGTGTCATCTACATACATACACATACACTTGTGAGAAATTTAAAAATACGAAAAAAAAATAAACGAGGGGTTACGTACGGATGTTTCCGAATTGCCAAGAATAGAAGTATCGGCGACCGCAAAACTGGCTCCACGTGAAACATCAACGCCTGTTTTAAGTACTGGTGGGATCTCTTTAGGAATGCCCATGAATTCAGCTTTATCATGGATCACCAAATAATTATTTGCAATAAAACGATTGTTAGTAATCATGTTTTCCTATATTTTGATAATCATAAAACGTTTCAAATTTGAATTTATATAGTGGATCGGTCAATGCATAATAGATTTTAGAATAACGTAAAAAAGTAGGAAAAAGGGTATTAAGTACGTAGAAACATACAAATATGTAACTGTAACGTACCGATCAGAAAACTTGCCGTTGGGGTCATCGCGGGATTTCCCGTAGGGCCAAAAGCTTTGAGGAGGATGTTGATCTTTGCTTACAAACACTTTGTTTCCAGCGTCGAATTAAGAGTCTCCGAAAGTGAGCAGTCTTACCGCCGGAATACCCTCGCCGCCGACGGCAGCGACAATTATATCGGATTACGGAAGAGGCCGGTTGATACCAATAATGCCCCTAGAGGCTAGAAGAATGACCAAATTACAGTTTTCTGCCATAGCTTATTAGTTATGTGAGAGATGGAGATGAGATTGAACTTATTGATAATACATGAGTTCTTATATAATCTAGTGATTGTTGTTGAAGAGATGAACATATTCGACGCCTTGAATTAGGCTTTTAGAAATGAAACTCAAGTCTCGTGTTTTGTCCCTCCTTATTATTCTACGCGGTTGGTTGCAAATGGTTTAATTTGTATGAGATCTGAACCTGATTACTATAACCAATAAAGTTTAGAGAAATTCTCACATCTGACGTGTACATGAGTTCCAAAAAAAAAAACTAATAAAACGTTTACAAGAGTTACCACCAGTAGAAATTAGTTTACAAATCGATCGAGTACCACAAGGATGGTAGTCCACGTGTAAGGGATGATCCTCCTAACCGACGGCAGAAATGATGTCACGTGGCACGAGGAACAAAAGGGATCGTGGGTAACAGCTGAGCCGAAGACACGACACGTATCATAATTGTGGATGCAAAGGAGTTTGAAATGGCCTATGCATGGCCTATAGGTTACACTAATCCGACCAAAGCTTCTTTTAACCTTTTCCTTTTGTTTCTTCTTCCCCTCGGTCATTATAACCAAGCCAAAACTACATTGTAAATGCCCCGAAAACATTAATTTACCTATGAATGAGTATAATACTTAACTTAAGGCATCTTAACATGAAGTTATATTGTTTTAGACATTGATATTTTTCTGTCCAAAAACAAAGAAAAGACATTGATTTCTTTTTGTTTTGAACATAAAGTAAAAATTAGTTTTGATTCCCTCATTGTAATGTATCAAATTTTTTCTTTTTTGTTTCTTTAATATCTTAATACTTTCTTTTATAACGCTTACCATTTTTTACGATGAATCTCTGACCGACCATAAATCATATGACACGAGTGGATATTTTTACTATTGACGACAAAATAACGCATCATAATAATTTGTTTTTATGTAATTTTAATTATAAATACTTGAATTTCTTACAATACTTTAAAACAAACAATTTTACATACTTTTTTAAATATTTTTTTTCTAAACAATAGTTAAATTATATAAAACAAATTTTACAGCAAGCCACGCTACGCGTGGCTATACACGACAAAATAACGCATCATAATAGTTTATTCATTTATTTATTTTTATATTGTTATTACTATAAAAATACTAACACGTTACTAAATACATATATACGAAATACATTCCGAAGATAAATATTTATTCTACTTAAACATTTAGAAATTTATTACGTTTATATATGTAATTTGTTCTTTGGAAGTGGATGTCTATGGTAAACAGGGATTCCATTGTTTAAATGAAACAGCTTGTATGGCATTTTACAGATGCAATAGATATTTCGTAAGAAAACTAAATTATTATTGTTTTAATATAAACAAAAATGATTAATTCAAAAAAGCACACTAAAATAATTTAATAAATATGAATATAAAAGAAAAAGGAGATTATCGCCATGGTGCTTCAAATTCATTGTATTTGTGGATGCTATTATTAAATAATTCTTGATGTAAGAAACTTATTTCCTATATAAACCATGACTAGATGCCCATCCGAATTCGGACATGCGACAAAACAAAACAACGATTCTTTAAAATAAGAACCTCCCTCTGTTTCTCTCTCTCTATATCTCCCTCTCTGTTAATCGATGGCAGCTTCTGTTGATCCTTTGGTGGTCGGAAGAGTGATCGGAGATGTGTTGGACATGTTCATCCCAACCGCCAATATGTCTGTCTACTTCGGCCCCAAACACATCACTAACGGCTGCGAGATCAAACCCTCCACCGCAATCAATCCTCCAAAAGTCAACATCTCGGGCCATTCCGATGAGCTTTACACTCTCGTATATATTCATCTTCTCACATCTATCCATTTATGCATTAATAAACATATATGTGTATATATACATTATAGTAGAAACATGCATGCATACATTACTTCAACATCATTTTTAAGATGTCCAAATGCATTTGACACAATCTCTATTCAAAAATTGTGTTTGCTATGATAAACTTCAAATATGTATATTTATTGAAACTATTTTCTTAAGATATTACACATATTTATTGGTACATTCACATAGATGTTGACGTAATTTTTATATTATAGATACATATATATCAATGAGTTTCCAATACATAATTAAATGTGTTAGTCACGGTTTAGCTACATAATTAAATGTGTTAGTCACGGTTTAGCTGAAATTTTGATTACAATAATAACATTTAATTAATTATTTGAGATAGACGGCGTGTTGCATGTGTTGAAATTTCATTGGCCGTTTGTAAATGTAAATATTTTGATGCATGCAGGTGATGACTGACCCGGACGCACCTAGCCCAAGCGAGCCGAACATGAGAGAATGGGTCCATTGGTCAGTACCAAGTGACGCACTCTTGTTTTTTGTTTAGTGTAACAATTGTACATCAACGTGAACAATTTACTCATAACGTATAAATAAGGGTGCAATAACACTATTAATTATTTCAAATTTTCAGGATTGTCGTGGATATCCCCGGAGGCACCAGCCCCTCGAGAGGTATGAAAAAAAATTATCAAAGCTAAGTTTTCGATTTTGAATACAAATTGCTTTACTTTATTTTAGGATTATATGATCTTTGTTATAATTTTTACAACAGTGAACAGATCTTGCTTTGTATATTGCTTAATCTGCTTGCATTATAAATAAAGTGACGTTAGTGTGAAAGGCATTAAGAAAATATAGTAATAGTTAATTATGTCCATGATGATGTGTTTAGATCTAATTGAATAATTCCATACTCTTAACTTTTATTATTCATTAAAACATATTATCTTTGGACCGTGGTGCTTTCGGTTAGATATGAAGTGAATATTATAAGAATAAACATTACTTGCTTAGAGAACATTTCAATTCCGTGTGGCACGATATTGATTGGTCCAAAACCATATACCTAACTCTCTAATAGGTTGCTTCTGTTATATATTTTTAGTTGGCAATAGCCAAGTACTTTCCAGCATTAACATTTAAAAACGAAACATAAATCAAATAAAATCCATTATTCTTAAGAAAAAATGAATCCAAGTGGTTTAGGTCAGTTTTTAACTATATATTTTATGTATAAGGAGCGAAAGATTTCTCATCTCTATGGGATTAAATCCCGAGATATTAATATTAGAGTCACTATTTAATTTTCCTATGTTTCAAGCTATGTCCCATACTTACGACATGTGGTGTCTTCTGAAACCAACATCTCATGTATATCCGTACGTCTGCATTGATGTATATCAACTAAATAACCTACACATGTCATCTTATACAAAACCTTAAACACTGAATAAAGAAAGCCGTTTTGTACGATACGAAAAATACTATAACATGTTTCCTAGCGAAAACAGTTATTGCTTAATGTATTTTATATTAGTACGATGAAAAATATTCCATGTTTTAAATTTCAGGAAAGGAGATACTTCCATACATGGAACCAAGACCACCAGTGGGGATCCACCGTTACATTTTGGTACTTTTCCGGCAAAACTCACCGGTGGGTCTGATGGTGCAGCAGCCGCCATCACGAGCCAATTTCAGCACCCGAATGTTCGCTGGACATTTCGATCTTGGTCTACCTGTGGCCACTGTCTACTTCAACGCCCAAAAGGAGCCTGCTTCACGCAGACGCTAGTACAAGAAACAAACTAATGCCATCTATAAATGAGCCAAAAATCCGGAACTTTTTGGTTTAAAAACCGAAAGGAACCTTTACCTAAAAAACCAGAGCGGACAAAAATGTGGGTATTATATATCAAACCACATTTTCTATTAGTCCGGTTATAGCTATGTGCCTATGTCTATCTATATAGCTTACAAATATGTGTATCTTTTTTTAAAAATCTTTTTCATATGGAGTGTTTGCAATAATATATGGTGTTCGTCTCTATATTCTCCAAATAATCATATATTAAGAGTTATAAAGAAAAGATTACATACCAAAATTAAAGAGATTACAATCGATGAAAGAAATCTAATATACTGTGTTTTTTCTTGATTGTAGTCTTCTTGTTCTCTGCACTTTTACAGTTTGTTTTCACTTTGAAACTCTCGGTTCTAGGTTTTGCTCCACGCACTCTCTTTGTCGTCATGTTCACATGATCTTGAACTTCAGCTATATCTACTTCTGTTGTTTCAAATGTTTCCTTCACTGTGTTCTTCGCAGAGTCTTGTTTGATTCCAGAATCTTCAAGCTTGGGCAAATCGATTGTAACACCCTCTTCTCGATCCTCGTGTCCGTGAGAGTTTGGTGAAGAAGAAGCCACGTCCATTGCTTTGCTTTTGGTCACAAATGAAACAGCGAGTTCTTGCAAACCGTACTCTGCAAATTCTAGATTGATTTCATCGGTTTTTCTTATCTTGAACGGGTTGTTGTCTGGAATAAGTGAGGGATTGCTGGGCTGGATAACCACCTGATCCCTGTTAGGCTGTGAAAGTAGTTTGTGTAGATCTGAATCTTGTTTAGAGTACATCGCCTTCTTCAGAGTAGCTTCTGGATAAATCGTAGCTTCATCTGCAGTCCTTTTGAGCTCTATTCTTTCCTCACTTTTAGACGAAGAACACACCAAAAAGGAGCTTTCCTTTTCCTGTTCCTTGAATGATCGAACAGGCTTTTGCAACTGTCTCCTAGGAACCGAGAAGCGGTTAAAAGCCTCCATGGTTATGGGATCAATATTACCTTCAGCAACTGCAGCAGCAACAGATGGCGATAGATCTCTGATAAGTTTAATGTGTCAAGGTGAACAGAACTGCAAAATAATCACGTGAAAGTTTATGTGATGAATCTTCTTTTTTTTTTTTTACTGGCATTGTTGTGTGTTTAGAGTGGTTAAATGCTCTGCTTTTGCAAATTAAGAGTAGACTGAAATATTTAGGGAGGGGATGAAAAAGGATACGGTCCCAGGAACTCAAGTTGTCCAACTGGTAAATTCAGGAGGTTCTGGGAGAGGGGTTTCAAGTGCTTGAGCTTCTTAGCATCAAAGTCATATCTGCAACAGATTCAATTAAAGGGAACAAAGTAAGGAAAGAACCATAAAAGAATGGATATTAGCAACACCTGAATGAGACCGAAGTTACTTACATACGAGCATGCTGAAAAACTGAAACTGCTTCCGTGAAAGAGCTGGAATAATCATCAGGAACTAGTTTGCCCTTTTTTGTCTTGAGAAATGACAAAACCTACAGTATTATTCCCACATTTGAATGTCTTAGGCTTTTCTTTTAGAGATGGGAGAAGCAAGCATTTGCCAAAGTAATTGCTTACGCGTTCTACACTCTGGTACTTGGAGATGAATGCATGAGCTCTTGAAATGCCAACACCAGGAACCGATGGGAGAAAATCACAGCCCGCTAATACGCACATTGCTGTAAAAGGCCAAACCAAGAACAATTATTAACACAAATGTATCACTATATGTTGGGAGGATTAGACAATAATATACTACTAACCAGTGAATAGCTCTTGATCAAAATTCTGGAAGGAAGGCTTTTGATCAACGGCTTGGAAAACATTATCTAGAATTAGTTCCTCTCCTTTACCATAGCGGTCCATCTTAAAAATAACCTTTTTACCATACAGAAGTTGGGGAAATATATCATACAATGCTCTTAAAACACTTATCATAAACTTGTTTTTTTTAATGTGAAAAACATCTTACAGCTTTGCAGCCATATGCAAGTAAATCGCTGTCCTCGGTTATAACTGCAGCAATCCCACCATGTTCCAGTTCGAGGCTGGATAGGTATGCTAGCTGAGCATCAGCCTCATATGGAGCTACAATAAACTCGACGTTCTCTGATTTCAGAACCTGAGAAGTTGTTAGGGCCTATAGAAGATTCATATTTCCCTAAGAAACGGTACTCAGTTAATAAACAATTTTATACCTGAATCAATTGATGAGCCATGGATGATGTTACACTAACTGCTCTCTGCACATAGTGATGACAATAGGCATGAGCTCACACAATATCATAGTCTCGACCAAAATCTAATAAAGCAGAGTACATGATAAAAAATTACTAACTAAACTCACAAAGCAACACAGCAGGAAAGCAAAACTAGACATAAGATTCAAGAGGAACATGTTATCTTTGAAGGATCTTGGAACTGGTTCAAAATTAGACATGAAAGATGGATAAAGAAAAAAGCTGCGTGTAATAAATGTCTTCCTAGTGTACACAGACTAGTCTTGGAGCTATCATTGGAGCTATCAGAGCGTAAGTAGAAGGTATTGCAACTCTATAGGCAAATAATTAAACAGGTTCTATATCTAAGCCATTGAAATGAAAAGAGCTAAGCACCTGAAAAAACTCAGTAGCTGCTAGTAACAAAGATGCTTAGTCTTATACATCTTATAGACTTAAGCCATTGAAATAAGAAGTAAGCACCTGAAAAAGCTCAGTTGCTGCTCCGACATTCCCTTCCTTAAGCTTCACCATTGCAGCGTCAAAGTTTGCCTTTCGCTTCCTGATAATCAGAATAAAATCCAAACGCTAAGTTAAATGAAAAAAAATTCATAAGCAGCAAAGGAGAATGAACCAAATAAGAAATAATAAAACTAAAAAGACTTGCCTATGACGTTCATCTCCAGTGGCAGCCTTGCAGGGCATATTACCACCATCGAGAACAACGACAGGGATGATCTCATAGTGTTGAAGAAGGTTGACTCTATGCATGAAGTAATCAATGTACCTCAGCTTCTTCTTCCCATCAGTGTCTAAACACAGCTCCATACTACATGAGTATGCTGTAGAAAAAGTTCCCCATCAAGTCATGAATTTGAGAACCACCCAGTCAATAGATTACCATCAGCTCGAAAATGCTTCAACTACTTGCCACATTCAATAATATATTTATTCTTTCATTGCAATTCCACGGTCTATTGCATTTGCTTTTGACCAAGCTCTCTCAGTTCTGGGAAAGGAGATACAACGAAATGGAGGATATTAAAGAGAGCAGGAAGCTTACCTCCTTTGTGTAGCCATGAATATGCATCGATTCCCACCTGGAAATGCAAAAATGTGTAAACCCATCATTTAAAAACTTGATTTTTAAAGGAGATATTAACCCAGAACGATTAACGGAAACTAAAATGGAGAACATTAAGAAAACAAGACGGAGAAATTACTCGTTTCCCGGCGTATTTCTGGATGTGAATGGGAAGGATGTAAGGTTTCATGAATCTGAGAAGGTCCTTGATGCCCATTTCCGATTTCTTATCTTCTTCTTTTTTTTAGGGTTCTTGCGGATTTGTCTTCTTTATTTTTCTTTTAGCTTTTTTTTTTTTCCAGTCTAGAGTAAAAAAAATCTTAGCGCGAAAAGGCAATGGCGGGAGTGATTAAAATACGATAGATGCCACATAAGTAGTAATAGCGGCTGTTCGAGTATACCAGTCTACGTGGCAAAATTTAGTTGGTCGAAGACGGAGCAGCTCCAAAGAGACCAACATTTTAGATGTTCATGGCTAAAACCTTCTTTTTAGTTAGTTGCAAATCAGTACTCACTGGGATTATTATTACTTATATATATATGTTACAACTCCTTTGGTTCAATGTGTTCAATATTGGATAAAGTTACAAATTTAAGAGTATTCCGCTATTCCACCATTTTGCTCTATTATTAATGGAATCATTTGCCGCAAAATGGGAGAATCGACTCCAAAAACCAAGATCTCAAAGATAAGATAAAGAAGCAAACCTAGATTGACATGAAAACAAACATCCTTCCAAAAACCTTAGGGTACTTTATGAGTTGCCGAAAAAACACAAGTGATAAATAAAACCAACAAGGAGATAGCAGAGAGCAAGTAGAGCACAAGTAATGAGATTACTAGTAACGACCAATACCCCAAACTCTGATGACTCCATCGGTATAACCACTGAACAGGGTGCTTCCGTCAGCGCTCCAGTTCAAGCTTGTGCAGTAAATAACCTAACCCAATCAACAAACAAATCGAATTCAATTTCCATAGTTATTTACATAAAATGTTACACCGAAAACAATGGAATATGTATGATTTATAGACCCAAAAACACATTTGCTATACAGGTTTCACATTCACATGACGCAACAGAGTATGCATCCATCTAATGCCTAATATGGAAGATAAAAACAGACCAAGAAGAGAGAGAGAGAGAGAGAGAGAGAGAGAGAGAGCCTAAGTCTATACATGGAAAGGCAATTCAAACATACAGAATTGCAGAATCTGAAATTGAAACTAAGTATAGACGAAGATGCATACATATATCATCGTTTAGCATTTGAATTGACCAATCCATGTAAGAAACTTTTTACGAACTTTCACATTTTCTATAACAGACCAACATTAGGCTATAACAGACCAAATCTTAATCACTAGTCATAATCAACTACAGGAAATTATTCCTATAATGGAGTCATGGGCTAATGTATTGTACCTTCCTCTTGGTGGCAGCAGGACCACTGTTGTCAGACTTCTCAGCCTCAGCCTTGAGATCAACCTTCAAATCCTCAACGATGCTCTTGCTCTCCAGGTCCCAAATCTTAATACCCTGTTCAGTTGCAGCACAGAGCCAGTACCTGTTGGGACTGAAGCAAAGGGCATGGATCACAGAGTTAGCTTCAAGAGAGTAAAGCTTCTTCCCCTCAGCCAAATCCCAAAGCAAAACCACACCGTCTTTGCCTCCACTTGCACAAAGAGAACCATCAGGTGATACAGCCACCGTGCTCACGTATCCGGTGTGACCAGCAAGAGTCGATCTGAGCTTGCAGTTCGAGAGGTTCCACACTTTCACGGTTTTGTCCCACGAAGCTGACACAATCGTCGGCTGGAGAGTGTTAGGGCTGAATCTGACGCAGCTAACCCAATCACGGTGTCCCTCACCACCTTCTGAGATCGTGTACTTGCAC